CAGGCTTTGCCAGTGAGACACCTCCAGTGCATTTATTTATTTATCTATGCCCTGCCTTTCTCCCCAGTGTGGATTCAATGCAGCTAACGTCATTCTACTTCTTCTGTTGTATCCTCACAACAACCCTGTGAGGTAGGTTAGGCTGAGAGTGTGGGACTGGCCAGAGGACACCGTGAGAGCTGCCATGGCAGAGTGTCAGCTCGCTGCCATAAAGGCTTGTGTGTGTGTGGGGGAAGGAGCTCTTTGGAATGTTACTTTCGATTCTCTTGCTGTCTCAATGATGCTCTCTTATCTGTATGGTTTATGTGCCTGACCTTGGTTCCTAGTTGTAACATCATCCCTGGGAACCTCAGACCGTTATGCTTTGGCGGGCCCCGCCTTTTACCTTGATTGGCTCCCTGCCACCCAGTGACCCTTTCCGAACCCTGTATATCTGTCCACCCCGTGCCTTTTGCTTTTGTCTTAACACAGATCCTGAAGTAGAGATACCCTGCCAATACTGTATCAATAAACTTTCCTTCTAAAGAAGCAAGTCGTTGATTCTGATTGTTGCAGGAGTCTGGCGTAGAGCACGGATTGGAACCTCTGTTTCCTAGATCCCAATTCAGCACTTCAACGGCTACACCAGGCTGCCTCTGCTTTCTTTCGTAACAGGTAGACATCACGGCGGTGCCAAGTCCCGGCGGGTTTCCTTGGATGAGACTGGTCCAGGCGGCTCCCAACAAGAAACAGCAGAACCTTGAAGCCTACTTAAGCAACGGCCAGCTGTACTACCGGCCCACGAGGCCCATATTCAGGGATGAGGAACTCCTGGTTTGGTACGACGAGGAACTTTCCCGGCTTCTGGGGTTCGGAGAGATTCAATCCGGCAGGCAGCTCCAGAGCGGTGAGTGTGGACAGCCGGACCCGTGAGTGCATAGGGTTGCCAGCTCCAGGTTGGGAGATTCCTGGTGATTTGGGGTGCGCAGCCTGGAGAAGGCAGGATGTTTGGGGGGGACACATTCCCAAGCAGCCGTTTTCTCCTGGGGAACTGATATTCATTGTCTGGAGACCAGTTGTGGTTACAAGAGATCTCCAGGCCCTGTTTGGAGGTTGGCAACCTGAGCCTGCTGGCTGGGGGCTCCCTGGGCGGAGACTTGCAGCTTGGGAAGAGGGGGGTGGGGTTGCTGGACACTAAGAAAGGCTACTCTCATGAGAACCTGCCAGAGGCGCAGTCTGCATCTAGCATTTGCTCTGCTGTTTTACCAAACCCAGAAGGGGCTGCGGTGGCTCAGGTGGTTAAGACGCCGAACTGCAGACCGGACGGTCAGTACTTCAGGTTCAAGACCCGGGTGCCGCAAGACAGGGTGAGCTCCTGTCTCTAGTTCCAGCTCCTGCCAACCTAGCAGTTCGAAAGCAAGAAATTGCAAGTAGATAAATAGGGACCACTTCGGTGGGAAGGTAACAGCGTTCCGTGCACCTTGGTGTTTAGTCATGCCGGCCACATGACCACGGAAACGTCTTCGGACAGCGCTGGCTCTTCGGCTTTGAAACGGAGACGAGCACCGCAACCCTAGAGTCGGATTCAACTGGCTTTCGAACAAGGGAAACCTTTACCTTACCTTTACCTTTACCAAACCCACACTGACTGTAACAGAAAAAGATGCAGCTCAAAACCACATTCAAATATTCCGGGGAATGGCCATAAAACGACCATAAATCTATGCCGACAGCCTGTGTTTCCCACTTCCTGTCTCCTCCTGCCTAGGGCAGAAATGGCTTCTCTTTGGAAGCAATAATCCAGAGAGATCCGCGGGAACGAGGTATAATTTAAAAATACAAGAACCGAACATTATGACTATGGAACGTTCAATACTTCAACATTTTCTTATTATAGCACATACCTCTCTAAGTGCTATATAGAGCTGCGGTGGCTCAAGTGGTTAAGACGCTGAACTGCAGGCTGTGGTAGGTCAGTAGTTCAGCAGTTCGAGACCCGAGTGTGCTGCATGACGAAGTGAGCTCCCGTCTCTAGTTCCAGCTCCTGCCAACCTAGCAGTTCGAAAGCAAGAAGCTGCAAGAAGATAAATAGGTACCACTTCGGTGGGAAGGTAATAGGGTTCCGTGCGCCTTGGTGTTTAGTCATGCCGGCCACATGACCACGGAAACGTCTTCGGACAGCGCTGGTTGAAACGGAGATGAGCACCGCAACCCTAGAGTCGGACTCGACTGGCTTTCGAGCAAGGGAACCTTTACATTTACCTCTCTAAAACAATACATATCTTAATCACAATAAACAATTAATTATCCCAATTCATTATCACTTCATGTCCTCAGGAAGGCAGTTTAAATCCTTCTGTGAAATGATGCTAGTTAACTCTTTTTCGCTGTCTTTGAACGATACTGGGACATGTGGATTTTGTTCTGTTGCCTCTTGGAGAAAGCTGAGAAGACAGGGAATTAAAGGTCGACAAGTCCGTCAGAGGCGCCATTAGAATGTCCATAAATCATCCACAATTACTGGATTTGAAAGAGCAAAGGACATAGGACCGCTTACTACAGCACCAGCACTTTAATCTTGGAAGGAACTCTTACAGGCACTGTCATTCATCATTAGAATGGACCATTGACAGTGATGATCAGGGGTCATTTCCTGCCGGAGCGCACAGGAGCGGAGCTCCGACAGTAAAGAGCCCAGGGGGCGGGCACAAGCAACAAGCCCCACCCCCTGCTCCCAGCAGCCCTCAGTCAGAGCAAGAAGCAGCCAGGTAAGTTGCAGAGCACCCCCTGGCCTCCCGGTCCAAAACAGTCCAGTGTCGGGCTGGATACAGTACACATTGGCTTCTGGTCATGGGGGGGGGGGAGTTTGATTTCAGATCTGTGTGGAAACCCCCCCCCCCGCAATAGCTAGCAATCCAAAACAGTCCAGTGGAGCCTGAGAGGTGGGTGTTGCCTTCTGACACACTTCCGGTGATGTCAGGGAGTATGGCATATGCAAATAACTTATTAGCATGAGTTATGCTAATGAGCTCCTGCACCTCTTTTTCTACAAAATGACCCCTGGTGATAATGATTTGCTTATAGTGATTAAGATATGTATTGTTGTAGAGACATATCCACTATTAATAAGAAATTATTTACGTATTGGACTTTCCATAGTTATAATTTCACGGTTCTTGTATTTTTTAATGATACCTTGTTCCCGTGGTTCTTGTACTTCTTTGATCTCTTTGGAAGTAGGAAGGTATGTGTACTGGGAGTCTGAAGGTTTGGCACCATATTGGACGCTCAGCAGCAGGCGTCATTTGGGGCTGGAATGAGCCACACCCAACAGCAGAAATTCATTTGCTTATTAGGACACACCCCTGACAGCACAGCTCATTAGCATATTAAGCTACATACCCCATGTTCGCAGAAGTGTGGTCATCCAGACACACCCACCTTTCGCTTCTTATTCTGTTGACCTTGTTTGTTGTCAACCAGGGCTTTTTTTGTAGCAGGAACTCCTTTGCATGTTAGGCCACACACCCCTAATGTAGCCAATCCTAATGAGTTCCTGCTGTTGGGTGTGGCCTATTATGCTAATGAGTTCCTGCTGGGCGTGGCCAACTCGGGAGCCAGCCGGAACTCCGTTCCTGTGCGTTCCTGCCCCAAAATAGCCCTGGATACAGTGGTGTTGGTGATGTTGCCAACATTGTGCCCACTCCCATGTCCCTGCCCCCAGCCATCCTGCCGGTTGCCTGGTATTTTGTGTTTTGGATCACGTTAATGAGAGACGTTAATGAGAGACATGCTGTAGTGGTTAAAGTGTCGAACTAAGATCTGGGGAATCCAGGTTCGAATCCCCACTGGTGCCATGGAAGCTTGCTGAGTGACCGGGGACCAGTCACACACGCTCAGCCTCACCTACCTCACAGGGCTGTTGTAAGGATAAAATGGAAGAGAATGATGTAAGCCATTTTGGGTGCCCACTGGGGAGAAAAGAGAGGTATACATAAAAAAAATTCATGACAAATCATGGAGTCTACCATAAAGCTCTGTTCACGATCGTCGTCATCATTATTGTTATTGTTTTGTTATCATTACTAGAGCCAGTTTGGTGTCGTGGTTAAGTGCGCGGACTCTAATCTGGGAGAACCGGGTTTGACTCCCCACTCCTCCACTTGCACCTGCTGATGTGACCTTGGGTCAGTCACAAGCTCTGGCACAGCTGTCCTTGAAAAAGAGCAGTTTGTGTCAGAGCTCTCTCAGCCCCACCCACCTCACAGGGTGTCTGTTGTGGGGAGGGGAAGGGAAAGGAGATTGTAAGCCGCTCTGAGACTCCAAGTGAAGGGCAGGGTATAAATCCAATCTTTTCTTCTTCTTCTTCTTCTTCTTCTTCTTCTTCTTCTTCTTCTACTACTACTACTACTACTACTACTACTACTACTATTGCTGCAATCATATTATTATTTTTATTATAGTTCTAGTTTTATTATTACTAAAGGTTTTAATAGCTCCTGACATTACTTTCATGCACAGGGGCAGGACGTCTTAATTTCTATTCCTGCCCCAGTCCTTCCAGGGGTTACTGCCGTGGCTGAGAGAGACCATCTCCCTTGCTAAGTCTCTGTTGTGCGTGAGACTGAATGCCCATGTTCCCCAGTCTGCTGGGTCTTGGACCAGCCGCCCTTAACCAGTTTCTCGCCTTCCTTCTTAGAGCTGTGTTGTCCAAGCTGCAAGCAAGTCTTCCGGGGGGAGCACGCCTATGTCGCGCACGCCCGTTTCTTCTGCTGCCCGGAGAACAGCGCCCAGCTCTGGAGGAGCCTCTGTGCCCCGAAGACCCTGAAAAGAAGATCAGCGGAGCAACCCACAAACTTCCACAGCTTGGCCAGGGACCTCGAGGTCAAAAGGGCGGCCTGGAAAGACGACGCCAGTCACTCGGCTGGCGAGAGGAGAGCAGATTCTGGCGAGAGGGAGAGCGGGCCAGGCAAGAAGACGGTCCTGTTGGAGAAGACAAATTGTCTCCACCGAGAACACCACAGCGGGAGCAGGGAGGGGGGCGCCGGGCAGCAGCCGTCAGGCGGAGCTCTCTGGAAGCTCATTACCAGGAAGCCCGTTTTCCTTAAGAAGGACGCTCTGGAGGAGAAGGACAGCGCATTCACGGAAGTGAAGCGGACAAAGGAGAAGCCGAAAGCTGGGGAGGTCCACGAGGCGCAGCAGAGGACCGGGGCAGCTCCCTCTGGCAAAGAGCGGGCCCCGAGCCATCCCGTGCCAAGTTCCCCCGGCAGCGCGTTCACATTGGTCTGGCCCACCAGAGTGGCCGGGGAGGCGAAGAGCGCGTTCAGGAAGCCGGCCAAGCGCTTGCTGGACAGGAAGTCGGCGTCTGCTCCCCGGGACGAGAGCAGTCTGGCGAAAGGCCCGGGGAAGCTGTCGGGATGCATCAGCGCCGCCGACGTAATGCGATACGGCAGCTTTGTCTCTTCCGAGGTCTTTGTCGCTGATGTAAGTAGCTCCGCATTGCTGCAGAGCGGTCCTTTCCCTTGTACTTCGGGACTGTGGCCCCGACTCGCCGGAGGGCAGATATTGACCACGCCCACGTCGGGGTCCCGCTCTGCTTCTTTCGCTGTCTTGCCTCCCACCTTCACCTCCTTCGGGGTGGCCGCCCAGAACTGGTGCGCCAAATGCAACCTCTCCTTCCGCATGACGTCCGACCTTGTGTTTCACATGCGCTCCCATCACAAAAAGGAGGGCACCTCCCCGGAGTCTCAAAGCAAAAGGAGGAGAGAGGAAAAGCTGACCTGCCCCGTCTGTCAGGAATACTTCCGGGAACGGCACCATTTATCTCGGCACATGACTTCCCATAATTAGTCCCAGAGGGGGAGCTGTGTGAAGTCTATAGCAGCAAAATAAAACAGAGCGGGGGGGGGCTCCTGAACTGTGAGCAACATCTATTCCAGCATGTGACAGAGCTCACGTCTTCGGACGCTGTGAAGAGGAAGTCACACTGTGCGTTTTTTGTAAAGAAAATGGTAGGGAGGCCATGAAAGCTGGGTGTGAATCCCATCGTAAAACTTTCAGGTGTGATTCTCTGTGTAAAGGACTGGAACAGATTAGGTGGTGGTGGATGAGGAGAAAGGTCAGAGGTCGCAGACCCTAGTCAGGTACAAATAAACAAGCCTGACCTGAACAGCCCAGGGTATCCTCATCTCAGTGTTCCCTCTAAGCTGAGTTAGTGTGAGCTAGCTCACAGTTTTTTAGCCTCCGGCTCACCCATTTTTGTCTTAGCTCAGGAAGGAGGGCTCCAGAGCAAACTAATTTATGCAGTAGCCAAATCGCTCACTCACAACTTTAATGCCAGGAGCTCACAAAGTAGGGGTGTTAAATATGTGGCCCCGGGGGCTGGATCAGGCCCCCGGAGGGCTTCCATCAGGCCCGCAGTGGAACTGGCCAGACTCTCTTAATCACTTAGCCATTTCATGTTTTAACCTGCGTCCTAGACTCTGAGCATGGGATTTCTGTGCTGAATGTCAATAAATCAAAAGTAGGTCTGCAGCTTACAGAGCTAATGTTTTTATTTTAAGTTAAAAAACAATCTTTGTGTTTGTGTCCATTATAAAGTTTATGTCTCCGCTACCTGGCATTACATTTTTTTTAAAAAAAATGTATTTATGAGTTTATAAACATTTACAGGAAAATACATATACAAAATTAAATATACATTAGAGTCTTATGTTTCGCTCTTTCTCTAACCACTCGTACAATCCTGACCATCTTTTTTCAAAAATCTTTTCAACCTTTCCGCATAGTAATACATTCAGTTTATCAACTTCTGCTACATTCAATAGTTTGTATATTAATTCTTCTCTTTGAGGTATTTTATCTGATTTCCAATATTTTGCCCAAAGGATTCTTGCTGCCGTCAAAATATATATCATCACATATGATTTTTTATAGTCGTACTCCTTTGGGATCATAAATCTCAAGTAAATTTCAGGGTTAAGTGGCAGATCTACACCTACTACTTCTCTTATTATTTTCTGAATTTTCTTCCAGCAATTTCGAATTTTTAGACATCTCCACCACATTTTATGACACACACGGCCCGGCCCAACGAGGTCTCATTTATGTCAGATCCGGCCCTCATAACAAATGGGTTCGACACCCCTGAAGTAGAATTTTTGCTCACAAGACTCCACAGCTTAGAGGGCGCATTGACACTTGGGAGGTAAGCAGGGTCAGCCCTGGTTAGTACTTGGATGGGAGGCCACCAAGGACTTCAAGGGCTGTGATGCAGATTCAGGCAATGGCAAGCCCACTCCAAACGTCTCTCGCCTTTAAAACCCTACGGGGTCGCCATAAGTTGGCTGCAGCGTGAAGCACTGTCCACCACCGTAGCGAAGTAGGGTAACTACACCTGTATTCCTGCTTCTCAGGTCTCGGGTGACAGCCGGGCCTTCCTCGTTTACAGACCTCGCCCCAACTTAAAGCAGCTTCTCAGCAGCATAGACCCTGAAACAGACCTAGACGCCAGCTTTGTTCCCATGCACAATGCTCCAGTGGAGCTGCGGTGGCTCATGTGGTTAAGACGCTGAGCTGCAGGCCGTTAGTTCAGCAGTTCGAGACCCGAGTGCCGCATGACGGAGTGAGCTCCCGTCTCTGGCCCCAGCTCCTGCCAACCCAGCAGTTTGAAAGCAAGAGATTGCAAGTAGATAAATAGGTACCGCTTCGGTGGGAAGGTAACAGCATTCCGCGCGCCTCGGCGTCTTGTCATGCCGGCCATGTGACCACAGAATTGTCTTCAGACAGCGCTGGCTCTTCGGCTTTGAAACGGAGATGGGGCACCGCACCCCTAGAGTCGGATTCGACTGGCTTTCAAGCAAGGGAGACCTTTACAGTGCTCCAGCAATGCTGTGATGGGACCCAGTGACATCAGCTTTGGGGGTGGGGACATGGGGGGGGGCACATCGTCGCCTGTGCCCTGACGTCACGTGGAAAACCCAGGCGTGAGGTTGGGTAGCCGTTGGAATGGCAAGTCAAACTATAGAGTTTCTGGCGATTCCTAGAGCCACCCTACATCACTTTAGAGTTTTCCCAAGATGTGACATTCTGGTGCACACAACGCCAAGGCTTTTCAAAAACAGGTTTTCTCCTGCCGCTGCTCAGAGAGGTGACAGTCAACGAGGGCTACTGGCGAGCAGCCTAGCGCATTCCCTTGCATATCATCATGCCAACAACACAGTTTGGCTTTAGTACACTTGAAACGATGGACACAGGCCTGGCATGAGCAGTAGCAACATTCTCTCAAGAGCAGTTTCTCTCAGAGCTTTCTCAACCCCACCAACTTCATAGGCAATGCTCCCTCTAAACTGTGGAGTCTTATGAGCAAAAATTCTACTTTGTGAGCTCCTGGCATTACACTTGTGAGCAAACGATTTGGCTGCTGCATAAATTAGTTTGCTCTGGAGCCATCCTTCCTCAGCGAAGACAGGAATGTGTGAGCCGGAGGCTAAAAAACTGTGAGCTAGCTCACACGAACTCAGCTTAGAGGGAACACTTCAGTCATAGGCTGTCTGTTGTGGGGAAGGGAAGGAGATTGTAAGCCGCTCTGAAACTCTGAATGAAGGGTTGGACTTGTGTGTATACGGGGTGGCTTGTTAAATTAGCATGCAAAATATGTTTTTTAACATAAAAAGAATGACAAGCTTGGTTTCTGGTTATCATCTGTTTAGATTCAGCTGGGGAGAAAAACAAACATAGGTAATACATATGTCAGAATGGGAGATTGAAATTGCTGATTACAAGTTATTACAACACTCGGAACAAACACCCCTTCAGGACTTAACAGGGATATTGGTTTCTTATGCCATTACATATGCTAACTTATTCAATCTTCACATATGTATTCTCACCAAGAAGGTCTATAAAGGTAAAGGTTTCCCTTGCTCAAAAGCCAGACGTGTCCAACTCTAGGGGGCAGTAATCATCTCCGTCTCCAAGCTGAAGAGCCAGCGCTGTCTGAAGACATTTCCGTGGTCGTGTGGCTGGCATGACTAGATGCCGAGGCGCACGGAACACTCTTACCTTCCCAACGAAGCGGCACCTATTTATCTACTTGCAATTTCTTGCTTTTGAACTGCTAGGTTGGCAGGAGCTGGGACCAGAGATGGGAGCTCGCTCCGTCACACAGCACTAGGGTCTCAAACCTGGCTCCATAAGAAGGGCTATACATACCCCATATTTTAATGTTTTTTTAAAAAATAGTATATTACAATAAAAATTGTAATGCAATGCAATATTTTGTTGATCTCTGACATAACACTGCACCCCAGGAAAACTATTCTATCAGTTTAACTCCATATTTTAGTGAAGCAAAATGTTATTTTTAAAAAATCTCAGTTTACTACTCTTTAACAATTAGGAATATAATTGAATATGTAATGTAATTTGGAATGGTAAATTTAAATGTAATTCTCTATTCTGGGGACAAGACTGCCTCCGGAGGTGGTGGATGCTCCTTCACTGGACGTTTCCAAGCGGAGGCTGGACAACCCTCTTTCAGGTGTGTTATAGGGCCATCTTTCGGCAGTGCTTCTGCAGAGTGCAGGGGGTTGGACTAGATGACCTACAAGGTCCCTTCCAACATTCTATGATTCTAAGTACGATCTTGAATTCCATTTCATTGTCCAACGAAGGGTGCGTGCACACAAAAGCTCACACCTTGAATAAAACTTTGTTGGCCACTGGACTCTAACTTTGTTTCATTATACCTAGCTTATGTGTACTGCGGTGGCTCAAGTGGTTAAGACGCTGAACTGCAGGCTGTGGAAGGTCAGTAGTTCAGCAGTTCGAGACCCGCATGATGGAGTGAGCTCCCGTCTCTAGTTCCAGCTCCTGCCAACCTAGCAGTTCGAAAGCAAGAAATTGCAAGTAGATAAATAGGTACCACTTCGGTGGGAAGGTAACAGCGTTCCGTGCGCCTTGGTGTTTAGTCAT